ACATCTCCTGAACTTCAACGTCATCGTCAACGCCTGAAATAGAATTCTTGGCTTTACGACTGACGTCCCACGCCAGAGCCCCGACAATGATTAGACCCACCACCGTGTTCGATGCCATTAGCACAAACCCACCACCGAAGCTCCTCCCGCACACTAAACTATACGCCTTTATCCCTGCTATTAACGCCACGTATATCATCATCAAATTCCCAATCACCGCATCACATACGGCCATATCCACCCCCCACGATTCACAACTCAGGGAAGAGACGGCCAAGGTAATGAAGAGAAAAAGAATCTGGTGGAAGAAGAATGGATCTTTGGAACGAGTTAAATGAGTTGTCTCGGGTTTTAAATAAATAGTTTTAAAATATTTGGCGATTTTTTACTTCCAATAACACAGTGACACGTTTCTATTTTATGCTTTTTAATATAGTATTTTAGTATGATTAAAATTGGGAACAATTTGTTTATTTATTTGCGGTTCTGATTTTTTAAAATAATTTTCAAAGGTGTTCTACATGCTCGTGAGAAAAAGGCAGTTGGCCATTTTTCAATACATCATGAGGAAAACGTAGAAGGCAAATAGGTCATCCCAATGGAGGGCGTGATAGAGCCACGTTGTGTTGGTGTTGAAGTTGAAGTGCTCTCAAATCGCATTCATATTTTATTAAAATTTCTCCTTTAAGAAGACGTGCATTTATTTATTATATTATCGACTCTAGTACAAGGATTCCATATGAAATTTCATTAACTGACGCTTCTAATTATACCAAGGTATGGATCATGTTATATCTTATTAACACAAGCTCTAATAGATAATTAAATTGAATTTTGTTATAATTTTAATGATTGAAGTTGATTTTATTTAAGTTTATTTAATACGTAATAACTTGCTTTAGACAAAAATGAATCTTAAAAAATTAGAATTTTTGTGACCAAATAATTGATTTTATAAACAGAGAACATACCTTAACCTTTAAAATTATAATAGAGAATTATTTTTGGGTTTAGGTTTGCAAATATAATAGGAATATTGAGAGAGTGATTTGAAATATTCTGAGTTTTGTTATAGATATCAAATTTTAGGATATATGAGATATCATGTATTTATACATGTTGTGATCTCATTTATAGTGAATTATTATTGTTATTATTCGAGGAAGTAGACAAGATCGAATCACTTTAAATCTTACCTATTGTGCATGTCTTATTTTATATTGATATCACATTCTTTTTTTTTATGTTCTACAAATTCCTAACGTATCAAAGATGTGACGAACTAAAGTCGCTTTTGGTGGTTAATACTTGATTTCCAATGGGGTTTATACGACATAACAATGATTAAAGTCAAGTTTAGAGTATCTCAAACCGAACATGATGTTAAAATGAATGCAGGCTCGATGGAAATTTGTTCGGATAAGTAGAATAAAAAGAATGCAAGTCATGGGAGGAAAGACTTTGTGTTTCAGTTGTTGCATCCATCATGATTCATGCATGCAACTGCGTAAAAAGTTCTACTTATATACTTTGCTTCTTATTAGCAGTATTGTGCACGTGTTGTATACGACCGTTGAGATTGTTAATGGTGGTTGAGGTTGTTAGAATGGTTAAGGAATTTGTTAGGCTTATAACTGATTCTAAGAGATGTATATAAACAGCTAATCTTGTGTACTCAATGAATGTATTGCTCTCATTAATAAACGTTGGCATATTCTTCTTCTTCTTCCTGATATCTTAACATGGTATCATACTGCCTCTCGTCATTGCTCTTATATTGTTGGCACATACGTCTCTACCAGTTGAGTACTGGTCCTATGCCATTGTTGCCACGGTTCAGTTGATCAATAAGATGCCCACCAAGGTGCTGCAAGGGTCTCTCATGTTGAGAAATTGTTGGGGAAGAAACCGAATTATAGTGACCTAAAGGTTTTTGGTTGTCAGTATTTTCCTCACTTGTGACCTTTTCAAGCTCACAAGCATGCATTTCGGTCTCAGCCATGCACGTATCTGGGTGTTAGTCCTCAACATAAGGGGTTTCAGTGCTTAGTAGCTGATGGGAGATTCTCTATTTCTAGACACGTTATTTTTAATAAGTATATATTTTCTTTTGCAGGGAAAGTTGTTTCAGTCAAGTTACATGTGGTCAAGGACCAGCAATCACAAGCTCTTGATATTGTGACCAATATTCAACAGCTGCCCGGTCTTTGTGTACAATGCAGTTATGGGGCAGGTTCATCGATGCATTCTAGTCGTACTGTTGTTCCTTGTATGGCTAGTGATAACACTATTAAACCTACAAGAAATATTAGTGTAAATTCCTTAGAAGAAGTTGCAGTTGAGTCTTCAAGTTTACCTGCTCCTACCAATGTTGCTGCTAATCCTAGTGCCAATACTGAAGGTTTGCATTAGGTTGGTGCACCCCGCACGAACTGTCATCCGATGCTCACAGGGAGCAAGTGTGGTATTTTTAAGCCTAAAGCTTACTCAAGTGTTTTTGATGAAGAAGTTCTTTCAACAATTAATGAAGCATTGCAATCTCCAAACTGGGCTGCTACAGTTCAGAATGAGTTTGATGCTTTGAAGAAGAATGAAAATTGGATGCTTGTTAAGTTGCCACCAGGATGAGTTGCAGTGGGTTGTAAGTGGCTGTTCAAGCTGAAGCGTAATCCATATGGCTCATTTCATCGATATAAGGCATGACTTGTTACAAAGGGGTTCTCTCAGGTTCCTGGACATGACTATCTAGACACTTTTAAGTCTGTTGTGAAGTTTACAACCCTTAATGTTGTTCTCTCTCTTATTGTGTCTAATAACTGGGAATTGAGGCATGTTGATATCAATAACGCATTCCTTAATGAAAATTTGAAGGAAGCAATTTTGCATGCAGCAACCTCCAGGTTTTGAAGAGATGGAAGCTGATGGTACACCTCTCGTGTGTAAACTGCAGAAAGCATTGTACGAGTTGAAGCAAGCTTCCCATAATTGGCATGCCAAGTTGAAAGAAGTGTTGCTTCAAATAAGGTTTCAAGTTTCCCGAGCTGATGTTTCTTTGTTTTTTACCAATGTCGGTACTGAACGTGTTTACCTTCTGGTATAAGTTGATGATATTGTTATTACTGGTTCGTCATCTTCTGCAATTGTTGATGTTGTGCACATGTTGCGTGACATTTTCCTCTTAAGGATTTGGGGTCTCTCAGCTATTTCTTAGGGATTAAAGTAAAACGACTTAATGGCTCATTGATGCTCAGTTAAAAAGAAGTTCATTTTGGAGCTTTTGGAGAAGGCGAGCATGAAGAATTCTGCACCATGTGCTACGCCTATGGTTCTTGCATCCAAATTGGCTAAGGATAATGAGTTACTTGCTGATTCTAGTATGTATCGAAGAATTATTGGGTCATTGTTGTATGTGTGTCATAGCAGACTGATATTACATTCAGTGTTGGAAAGGTCACTCAGTTTATGCATGCACCTCGCGAAAGCCATTTAGTTGCAGTAAAACGTATTCTTCGCTACCTTGTTTGTACTGTGGATTATGGCTTGTTGTTCTCGCCATCTAATTCAGGGTTGACAGTTTCAGCATTTGCAGATGCTGACTGGGGTGTAACTATCATTGACCGACGATCAATTTCTGGTTATGATGTGTTTCTTGGTAAACATTTGGTTGCATGGAGTTCCAAGAAACAAAAATATGTTTCTCGATCAACAATGGAGGCCAAATATAAGAGTTTAGCCGATGCTAAAACAAAAGTCACTTGGGTGAGTACACTGTTAGCTGATCTCGGGTTGAAGCAGCATGGGAAGTCGGTGATCTGGTGTGATAATGCAGGAGCTGTGGTAATGAGTGCCAATCAGATTTATCATGCACAATCGAAACACGTAGATCTTGATGTGCATTTCATTTATGAAAAAGGTGGTTGTTGAGTAGTTGTGTGTGAATTATGTTCCTGTAGCTCAACAAGTTGCAGATGGTTTTACTAAGCCCTTGTTCTAAGCATCATTTGAAGTGTTTTGTGAGAGAATCGGGGTGCAATTGTGTTCAAGACTAGAAGCTCAGATGAAGTAGAGGGAATATTAGTAGTATTGTGTACGTGTTGTATATGACCGTTGAGGTTGTTAATGATGATTGAGGTTGTTAGAATGGTTAAGGAGTTTGTTAGGTTTATAATTGATTCTAGGAGCTGTATATAAACAACTAATCCTGTGTATTCAATGAATGTATTGCTTTCATTAATAAAACGTTGGCCTATTCTTCTTCTTCCTGATATCTTAACACTTCTTAATTTCTTTTAGGGTGCCTAGTTGATGAAACTTGGAAAATATAAGGACCACTTTTAAAAGTATCCTCATTAAAGGAATTGAGGACACACTTGGCTTATGGGGCACCTGATGGTATGGGTGATACGGAGTACGAAGCTTCTGGTTATAGATAAGAGGCGTGCATGTTAACAAGGAAGGAATGCTTGTCATCAATTTAGAGATTGAAAATAAGTAAAACAAGAAACAAACCAATTGAAATCGGTCACAGAATGTCAGCAGAGACTATACATGACGGTTTGTTGCTTACTAGAATTTAAAAACTTGCCACGGAAAGGGATTAAGAGCAGCAAGAAGCTTGCTGGTCGAACCGTCTTTATCGGGCTCCAATCTTCCACTCATCACAATACCGAGCAAACGCTGCCGCCATTCGATTTTTGCTTGTTTTTCGGAGGCTGAAGCACTACCTTGATAGCCGCATCAAACACTGCCTTCACATTCTGAAGTAAAGCCAACAAGCAAGACAAAAGCGCCCTCAATAATAAATTTCTGCCAAGTTTACATGAATAACATGTTGAGAAATTTACCTGCTGGGTTTTTGAACTACACTCGATGTAGTAAGAAGACCCTATCTGTTTCTTTAACTCCTCTCCCTTCACAAATAAACAAAGCAAAGGCTATGTTGAACATACATGAAACATATTATCATTGAACAGAACAAAACATAATATGTTCAACATTTACCTGGGCTGTAGTAATTGGTATTGCATTAGGATGGTCATTGAGGAATTGCTCATCCTCCCGGAGATCTGCAGCAGCAAGGAGTCGCAAACACCACAGCATTGAATGAAATGGCAAGAATTTAAGAAACTCTGTTAGGCCATTAGCGAATCAAACCAATTGTAATCCAGAAATACAAAGATTTAAAGCACGTATAACGATACCATCATCGAGGGAACAAGAAACATCATACCGATCTTAGTTCCAACAAGGACGATTGGAACGCCAGGTGCATAATGATTTAATTCAGTAATCCACTGAAACCCAAAGCAAGAAAACACATGATCACAGCATGGATAATGTGTTATAGACATCTTATGCTGCACAAAATTATTATCACAAAGGGAAGAAATCGAAAGATTAAACCTTCTTCGCAATATTTTCGTAACTAGCCTTGCTGATGAGAGAAAATGCAAGAATAAAGACATCAGCACCACGATAGCTCAATGGTCTCAGTCTATTGTAATCCTCCTGACCTGTTCCAAGGCAATGATTTCAAACCACAAGCAAGAAAGAAACAGAACTCAATAAAAAAGGAGAGATTCTATAAGTTATTTGAAAATTACCAGCAGTATCCCATAAGCCTATGTTGACAATGCTGCCATCAACGACGATATTCGCACTGAAATTGTCGAAAACAGTCGGGACATAGTCCTGGTACCATAAGAATTCCAAACGCAAAAAGTTAGCAAAAAAGAAAACCAGTGTCCAAGACAACCTAACAACCAACACAGAGTATAAAGCTCCGTTCTTGGTTCATCGGACATGATATTCCTACATGGAATGAAAAAACAATGGAGCAATTTCAAAGTTGATGAAATATTAGATAACTCGAACATCAATTTCAACCAACTCTTTGCAATACCAATAACACGTACTACGATCATGCAAGAAAGACCCGACCATTGAGGGAAAAAAGGATAAGAGAGGGAAAAAGGTTCACCGTAGGGAAAGTGTTGCTTGTGTAGGAAATCAGCAAGCAGGTCTTGCCAACGGCACCGTCGCCGACGGTGACGCACTTAATGAATTTTGCGTTGCTCATTTTTTTCTTTCTTTCAGAATATATCTAATCGCCTATAGCTTTATTCTTCTCCAAATCTTGAAATTCGTGTGTTTCTCCCTACAATCTGGTGATTTTCTTTCTTAGATATGCTTCACGCTCAATTAGTTGTTAAAGAGAGAATGAGATCCACAGGCTTCATCGCTTTGTCTTCCCGAAGCAAATCCTAATGGGGAAAGATTAATTGAAAAGTGCGCAGTGAGTGAACAAAGAGAAAATGGAGTGAGGGAGAGAAAAAAGAATGGCGCAAAATTGGTAAGATGAGAGCGAAAAGAGGCGCGAATTACAAATGCCTATAACAAGCTCTTGCCACCTCCATAACAACTCCTTTTCATCATTTACCACATAAATTCTACCATTATTTCTTTAAATTTCAATAAGCTTTATTTTTTTAGTTTGAATTAGAATACGACTTTTTCTTTTCATTTCAAATCAAGCAGTCCGCTTTTCTGTGTAAAATTTGAATTCACTATATTTCAAATAAAATCATAAATGGTTTTTTAATCATTACGAAGTTTCAACATACAGGAGTATAATTTGAATGTAGTTTATCTTGGGACACGACATATTCATGTATAAAATTTTAATGCTAAGACTTGGTTTATAGACACTGTCAACTTTGCTCGTTAGCTGTTCATGGCTGCCTATTTCAACTACCTTTCCTTGTTCCAGCACCACGATGCTGTCGGAATTACGAATCGTCGATAACCTGTGCACTACGACAATTGTGGTACGGCCTTCCATGAGGGTATCCAGAGCCTCTTGAACTAATTTCTCATATTCCGTGTCCAATGCACTAATGGCATGGAAGGATTCTTCAGGATTGCTCTAGCAATCGCCACTCTCTGCTTTGGGCCTCCAGATAACTGGACTCCTCGATCGCCGACATTGGTATGGTATCCTTTAGGCATTCGGCTGACGAATCGATGAGCATTGGTTGCTCTTAGTATCTCTATCTCTGATTCACCCTTCTTCCCAGACTTGATGTTTTCGTATATTGTGGTGGAGAACAATGATGGCTCTGACTCATGTTGAATTAAACTCATTCTCAGTCGTAGAGACCTCAGGTTTAATTTCTTGATACTATAGCCATCAATCAGCACTGCCCCGGAAACAGGATTGTAAACTTGCATAATTGGTGCGATCGCAATGCTTTTCTCTGATCCACTTTGTCCAACTACGGCTAGACTCTTTCCAGCTGAAGTTTTAAGGTTTAAGTCCTCAAAAATGGTTACATCATGTCGCATTGGGTACTTGAAACTAACATTTTTGAACTCTGTCTCTTTTATTTTCGGTTACTGTTGGGAAATTAAACGAGTAATTTCCTATAACCAGATTAGTGAGAATGCACAATAAAAGCGAAATAATAACACTCGAAATTGATAACGGAGTTCGGCCAATTATACATACGTCTCCATACTGCTGTAGATCTTTTACTTAAGGGAGAAAATTTATAGGTGTTTACAAAAAACACTCACAACTCACAACCCAATTACACCCTGAAAATTGCTCTCAAGAAAACTCTCTAATTTCTTTAGTATTGGGAGAGAGCTACAATGATTTGGGATAATTTTGAAGCTAAATAGGTTAGGGTATTTATAGTTGAAGCTTAAGGACTAATTTTGTAAATACCCTAAAGTACAAGGATTAAATTCGGTAATTTTCCCTTGCCAAATTTGGTAATTTTCCCTTGCCAAATTTTTAACAAAATCTGCTCCTTTTTTACCAATGCCATTCGGTGCATTAATGCACCGAAAGAAACTTTGATTTTCAACAATCTCCCACTTGAAGATTGATTTTAATCTATCTTCACACCTCGATCAATGCAACAACATTTATGGTCTTGTTACTCTAGCATGCCAATTGAAGTTGAACACAACTTCAGTTTGTCCGTAGTGACCGTCTTTGTTAACATGTCTGCCGGATTTTGAGCTCCACTAATCTTTTCAAGTTTCAAAATCCCATATTCCAGAAGAGACTGGATAAAATGATATCACAATTGTATGTGTTTCGTCCTGGAATGAAAAGACGAATTCTTCGCTAGATGGATAACACTTTGATTGTCGCAATACAAGACATTGTTTTCTTGTTTCTTGCCTAACTCTTCCAAGAAACTTTGGAGCCAAGCCATCTCCTTGTTGGCTTCCGTAACAGCGACATATTCTGCTTCAGTTGTGGAGAGAGCAACTATCTTCTGTAGTTGATAAACCCAACTCACTGTGGTACCTCCTAGAGTATAAACATACCCTATAGTGCTTCTTCTAATGTCAATATTTCTGGCTAAGTCAACATCTACATAGCCTGTCAGTATCATATCTCCACCTTTGAAACAAAGTGCTTTGTTTGTGGTACCCCGCAGATATCTGATGATCCATTTGACTGCTTCCCAATGTACCTTGCCCGTATTATTCATGTACCTATTAAAAACTCCCACTGCTTGAGCAATATCTGGTCTAGTACAAACCATGACATACATCAGACTTCCAATTGTTGAGGCATAAGACACCTTCACCATGTGTGCACATTCTTCCTCCATCTTTGGTGACTGTTCTTTGGAGAGTCTAAAATGAACACCTAAAGGTGTACTTACTGGTTTAACATCTTGCAAGTTGAACCTGAAGAGTACTTTTTTGATGTACTCAGCCTATGATAACATCAAATTCCCTGACTTTATGTCTCTCTTAATCCTCATCCCAAGATTTGTAGCGCCCAGATCTTTCATTGCAAAATGCTTCGACAATTTTTGCTTCAAGTTTATAATCTCTTGCATGTCTGAGCCTGCAAAAGCATGTCATTAACGTATAACAATAAAATAATGAAGCTTTTGTCGAACTTCTTGATGTAGCAACAATGATCTGCTTGGCATCTGGTAAAACCACATCTATCCATGAAGCTATCGAACTTCTTGTACCACTGTCAAGGAGCTTGTTTTAAACCATACAAGTTATTCTTCAACCTGCATACCAGGTTTTTCTTGTCTGCCTCTATGAAGCCTTCTGGCTGCCTCATATAGATTTCTTCCTCTAAATCACCATGAAGGAAATATGTCTTTACATCTAACTGCTCAAGATGTAGATTCTCTACAACTATAATTTTCAACACCAGTCTGATTGTAAACAACTTCACGACTGGAGAGAAAATTTAATTATAGTCAATACATTCTTTTTGCTGAAAACCTTTGACAACCAATCCTGCTTTGTAGCATTTGCTCCCATCGTGCTCTTCTTTCATCCTATAAACCCACTTGTTATGGAGTGCTTTCTTGCCTGGTGGTAATTCAGCTAATTCTCACGTCTGATTTGACATAAGCGAGTCCATCTCATCTTTCATGGAAGACTCCTACTTAACTGAATCTTCCATCTGCATTACTTCATCATAGCACTCTGGTTCACCATTGTCAGTCAACAACGAGTAGTGCAAAGAAGGCGAATAACGCTGGATTGGTTTAGGAATTCTGGAGGAGCGTCTCAGTTCTGGTGTGCCTGGTTCTTCTTGAACTGCTTCAGGATTGATCTGAACATCATTTTCAGAAATCTCCTCAAACTCAGCAAATTCCTTTGTTTCAGCTTCAGTATTGAAGCTACTTGATTCTATGGTTGACCTGTCTTTGTACATCATATTCTCATTGAAAATGACATCTCTGCTACTGATGATCTTTCGATTTTCATAGTCCCAAAATCGGTAACCAAATTCATCACCTCCATAACCAACAAAGACACATTTGTTGGACTTAACATCAAGTTACTTCTTTTAGCAGAATTTATGTGTACATAAGAGATACAACCAAACACTCTTAAGTGTGAAAGGTTTATTTCTTTTCTATTCCAAAATTCCTCTGGTATTCCACCATCCAAGGGAAATGAGGGACCACGGTTGATCAGATAAGCTGCAATGTTGATAGCTTCAGCCCATAGCAATTTGGGCAAGCCGACATGTATCCTCATGCTTCTGGCGTGTTCATTCAAAGTTCTGTTTAAGCACTATGCTACGCCATTCTTCTGCGGTTTCATGGGAACTATTGTCTCCATCTTGATCCCATTATTTGCGCAAAATTCTCTGAATCTACTATTTCTGTACTCTCCTCTATTATCATACCTCAACCGCTTGACTTTCAAACCAGTCTCATTTACCACTATGGCCTTCCATTTTCTGAATGTATCAAAGACTTCTGATTTCTTCTTTAGAAAATAAACCCACACCTTTCTTGTAGAATCATCGATGAAGGTGACATAATATAGTGAGCCTGCAAGAGATAGAACTGGAGATGGTCCTATCGAAACGATTTTTTTCTTAAAAAGTGAAAAAGTGATATTTTGAAAACCACATTAATTCTTAATTATCCTCTTTCAATCGATTTTTAATTTAAAAACAAATGTGATTTAAAAGACTTATCGTTTCAAAAAATTTTGAATTTCCTTTACGATCGAAAAAATACGGTTCGAAGAGTCGCCATCAATCCTTGATTAGGGTATGATTGGGCACCCAAAAATGTATTGTCATTTTAAATAAAAATTAATTTTAATTAAAACAACAAATTGTGCTCTGCGTTACAAAAAAATGAGTTCGGAGTTGGTTACGTGTGGGGAAGGATTTGCACCCCCACAGTGCCCTAAATCGGTACCTAATCGATTAATTAACGTCTTTGCAATGAACTTTACAAATTCAAATTTAATTTAATTCTTGATCCCGTAAAACAAAAAAATGTGAATTTTACAATATTCAAAAACACCCAAAATAGATTAAATTAAAATTACCGAGTCGTTTTAGAAAGATAAAGAATGTTCGATTATTTAAAAATATCGAGACCATATCTTATATGAGTTGTAACAACATTTTCTCGAAAGATTTAAATAAACTAACATTTCCTTTTCTTTCTTTCCCAAATTTTAAGTGACGAATCAATTTTTTTAGGTTTTACTTTCGGGATACATTTTTAATTTAAAATCGTCAAAATGACCCTCTAATGAGTTAAGACAAGCCAC